CTGAGTGGTACTCCACTCCATCCCCTGTGAAGCCTGCCCGCCCCCCCTGACTCTGCAATCAAGCTGCCCGAGGGGCTCGACTCGGTTGCTGCTGCGCCCCCTTTGACTTGGCGATTAAATTGCCGGATGGGCTGGGCTCTGCTGCTGCTGCGCCCCTCATGTGCGCTGGTATACAGTCCCCTGCGTGCGCACATCACCCGCCCAGGCATGCGCTTGACTGCATTCTCCACGTCTCCCACCAAGGAGGTGGAGGCAAGGAGCATGGGCGTTACTATGACTGCCTTCTCCAGGTCACCCGTTCCCCTTCACCCGTCTCACCTCGCTCGCCCACGCATCACGGTCTACAGCCCCCTGCGCACACACATTACCCGCCCGGGCATGAAGGTGGCCGTGGGGTATGGCGCAGTCACCCAGGCACACTCCTCCCTCTCTCCCGTCTCCCCTCTGTCCCCTCTCTCCCCCCCTCTCCCAGGCATCACAGTCCACAGCCCCCTGCGCACGCACGTCACCCGTCCAGGCATGCGTGATCGGCTTCGGAGGCCTCGGCCACTTGGCTCTGCAGATCGTCCGGGCCATGGGGGCGCACGTGTCCGCATTCTCCACGTCTCCCACCAAGGAGGAAGAGGCCAGGAGCATGAGACTTCTGTGGTGGGCGCGCAGCAGTTTGTGGTGTAAAGCGCGCACTCCCTCCCTCCCTTCCCCCCCCCCTCTTCCCCCCCCTCTTTCCCCCCCTCTCCTGCCCTCTCCATTCTACCCTTATCCCCAGGCATCACTGTCTACAGCCCACTGCGCACGCACATCACCCGCCCAGGCATGGTGTATGGCGCACTCACCCATGCATACTCCTCCCTCTGCCCCCGCGTCCCCCCTCTTGCCCCCCCTCCCCCAGGCATCACTGTCTACAGCCCCCTGCGCACGCACATCACCCGCCCAGGCATGAAGGTCGGGGTCGTGGGCATCGGCGGATTGGGCCACTTGGCCCTGCAGATCGCCCGGGCGATGGGGGCGCACGTGACTGCATTCTCCACGTCTCCCACCAAGGAGGAGGAGGCGAGGAGCATGGGCGCGCAGCAGTTTGTGGTGTACGACGCGCAGGCGGCACCTGGGGGAGGCCACCCCGAGGTGCCCAAGAGTGCTCACGTGGACGTGCTGGTGAACTGCGCTCCCGTCTTGCCGCCCAACGGAGACTACCGCAATTTCATGAGCCTCTTGAACCCTGACGGCACGTGAGTACCCCTATGAGTCCCTTGAATGGGTTGAGTGCGTCCATCCCTGCGTGGTATCCCTTGGCTCGTGATCTGGGCACCCGTTCTGCCCTCCCCAACCCCCCCCTCCTCTCACCCCAGACCGGAACTGGCTGGAATTCCGCCTCACGCCATCGGTCGCGTGGGCCTTCTGGATCACCTCCAATCCCAATGCACCCCTTCTCCCTCCCCCCTCCATCCCCTCTCCATCCTCCCTCCCCACCCCCCCCCACCCCCAGACTCGTGCTGACTGGGATTCCGCCTGACGCGGTCGGGCAGGTGGGCCTTCTGGATCTGATCTTTGGGCAGAAGAAACTTGCGGGATCGGTGGTGGGCGGGCGGATGATGCTGAAAGAAATGTTTGAGTTCTGCGCCGCCAACAACATCAAGCCAGTGACAGTGGTGAGTGTGAGGGTGAGGGTGAGGGTGAGGGTGAGGGTGAGGGTGAGGGTGAGGGTGAGATGGTGGGGCAGGCACGTCCCTTTTTTATGCGCCTCAGAAATAGACTCCCTCATAATAGACTCCCTCATAATAGACTCCCTCATAATAGACTCCCTCATAATAGACTCCCTCATAATAGACTCCCTCATAATAGACTCCCTCATAATAGACTCCCTCATAATAGACTCCCTCATAATAGACTCCCTCATAATAGACTCCCTCATAATAGACTCCCTCATAATAGACTCCCTCATAATAGACTCCCTCATAATAGACTCCCTCATAATAGACTCCCTCATAATAGACTCCCTCATAATAGACTCCCTCATAATAGACTCCCTCATAATAGACTCCCTCATAATAGACTCCCTCATAATAGACTCCCTCATAATAGACTCCCTCATAATAGACTCCCTCATAATAGACTCCCTCATAATAGACTCCCTCATAATAGACTCCCTCATAATAGACTCCCTCATCGCATCTGAACGATTCTGTGGATGAAGTACAAGCCACCCTGTCATATCCCTGTTACCACCTGGTTACCACCTGGTTACCATCTGGTAACCACCCATGTGTTAACAGACCCGTCCTGTGTCGCAGCTGAACAAGGCCATGGACGAATTGGAGGCCATCAAGGTTCATTACAAACCAAATTTCGTATTTTCTTTTCCCCTTTCTGCCCTGTTACCCCCGTGTTGCCCCTGTGTTACCCCCGTGTTGCCCCCGTGTTACAGACGAGTCCTCTGTCGCAGCAGAATGAGGCAATAGACGAAGTGGAGGCCAACAAGGTTCACCACAAATCAACTTTCCCTCTCTCATTTTTCCTTTCTGCCCTGTTACCCCCCTGTTCCCCGCCCTTCAACCCTGTGTTACAGACCCGTCCTCTGTCGCAGCTGAATGAGGCAATGGACGAAGTGGAGACGAACAAGGTCCGTTACCGCATCGTGCTGCTCACCGATGTTTAGATAGGGATGGATGGGTGGGTGGATAGATGGATGGCTTGAGAGTGCAGCTGCTTGTTGATAATGGATGTACGGGTGGGTGAATGGGTTGTGTGGACAGCATTAGGGCATGTGGATAGTGGATGTTCGGGTAATGTGAATGGATAGCTGCTTGCTGTTGAGCCCTCAAGAGCCACATAACGTGACACAAAATGGAGGCTGTCAGTCAAGGTCCGTTACGTTACTGCGTGGTGCTGCCCACTGAGGGCGAGCAGACATGGATCATGGATGAATGGATACTGTAGATGGATGGATAGCTGCTTGCTGTTGAGGCCTCAAGAGTCACATGGCATGAAAAGCACCTATGCATGCGTTTCAGGAAAATCCAATAAGAAAGAAAATGTGAAAGAGAATGTACCAGAAGAAAACCACCACGTATAGAACAGTATTTATAAGCGCTCTTCATGACATGCTACGTCTTATACATTTTCTTTCTACCTCAACCATTTATGGACCCACATAAATACACCTGACCAAATACATTTTACTGATGTACGAGGCTGCCAATAGGGACAACCATGGGAAACTTGTGTGGGTGTGTGGCACACATATTGAATGGGAGAGGGACGTAGGGGAGGGGAATGCGCAGCGAGGCGACACGACACCTGGCAACAATGTCACGCGCGCGCGCCGTACAGTGCGGCGGGGGAGATCGAGTCCGGGGAAACTTACTGCCGTGGACTATCCCGAAAACATTAAATACTTTCTTGGAGAGCACGTCGAGCTTTTCCTTCTCCCATGGACACCTGCCATACTTTCGTGGACTCCGGGCATCATTCCATGGACACACGCTCATTTGCAATGAAAATGCGTAAAAAGAAACGTACAAGTGATGACGGGCAGTGAGAAACACAAACCAGACACTGCATGCGTCGCAAAGCGCCGTGAACTACAGCTCTCGCATACCGAATCCGAAACAGAATCCCGCAACCTCGGAAATGAACTGTTAAGATTTCTCTGTCACTGTCCCTGAATCGCGCATGAAAATAGAGCTACGCTGAGCTTAAAATTGAACAGCAAGTGCTCCAACACTGTTTTCGATATAAAAGAGCTAGCGTTGTATGCATCCCCACTTTTTCCTTTTGTAGTACCTTTCTTATTTGGTTTGTGAAATTAATGAACATATATTTATATTTAAATCAATATAAGAACAAAACGCACATTTATAATTATATTGTTTGAAAATAATCAATGTTATTTTTCTTTTCATGGTTGCAAATATTAATATTTTTAGTAGACAGAACTATATGATTGAAGAAAAAAATCATTTTCGTGAGCATTGGTTGTGACCTGCAAAAGTTGAAAGCCTTTTTTGTTAGATGTATGGCGTTGTTATCTGGTCTTTTGACAGAGCTTGCTGGGCCTGCTATACCATAATACAGATTGTAGCTGGAACGTTACAGTCTATAGAAATGATTCTGAGCATCACTGCAGGATTGCTTAAAATAACGCGGAGCAGCTAGCTGATTTGGTTGTTGTGGGTTCTGTAGCCTGCGACTTCTTGTGACATGCCCCGGATTCGGCATTATTCTGTTTTTTCCGCCCGTCATCATTTGTACAGTTAATTTACGTTTTTTACTGCAATTTTGCGTGTGTCCATGGAAGTATGCCTTGAGTCCACAAAAGTATGGAAGGTGTCCATGGGAGAAGGAAAAGCTCGACGTGCTGTTCATGAAAGTATGGCCTGTCCACGAAATTATGAAAAGTTTTCGTGGACAGTCCGCGGCAGTAAGTCTCCCTCGAGTCTGTTCGTGCGCGGAGTTCCATTCGATACATGCAGTTACAAAGCGGTTGCAATACAGGTACAGTCTTTTACCGTGTGGAATCGTCCAGGACAACTGCAAAAGAAATGGGGCACCTGGGGAAGGCACAAGGGCACATCCCAAACCAGCTCTGCCTCCACCCAGCCAGATTTGTCCACCTGGCGGACAAATCACCCGAGCTGGCACCAATGAGCCGATCTGGGGAAGAGTAAATGTGGTTCGGTGGAGGCGTGAGGGAGCTTGTGGGCGCTTCGCGAGTGGCGGGCGAGCTGGACGAATCACCCCAACCTCACCCAATGCGCGATTCGAAGCAACAGATGGAACCGTTTCTTGCGCTTTCAATACGGTGGCGCGCGTTTTCGCGGTTTCCAGATTGGTATATTGCGTTACAGTGGCAAATGTCCGAGACACGCAATCCATGTGCACGCGACTCGCTTGTGGCCTCAATTGGGTTTCCGCAATCTGGACAAGGGAGTCAGTCGGTTTTCACTAGCAGTGGCGCATCACGTCATATTCAGCCTCCCAAGACCAATTTTTAGTATAACAGACCTATCTCACACGTTGTCCAGCCATCAAGCCACTGCCAAAATCTGGATAGTTTCAGCTCGTTCACAGCTTCAGGCCCTATCGACTGACGTCGCTCCAAGGAATCCCTTTGGAGCCAGTATCTTGAGCGCAAGTATGGCATTTCCTAGCAGCCTCTCCTTAGTCCTCGCGCTCCTTGTCGCACTGCCCGCCGCGATAGTAGCAACTAACATGCCCGCGGGCGGATGCCACACCCGCTACGTTTGCCCCTACATAGACAACCTCGCTACCGCGACCATCTCGCAGTCCACGTACACGAGTTACAAGTACATCGGAAACTACCTAGGGCTCTTCAACAACCAGGGTGGGCAATACGTTGAGCACCAGCGCGGCTCGGGTCCCGTTAATTTCGAGCGGTACACGGAGGTTGGGACCATATTCGACGTGGTGAAGGGCGTCTACGGAGACACGCTGCAGGAGTGCTGCCGCGCCTGCGCCCGCTCCACCTACTGCTACCAGTGGCACTGGTTCAAAAAGTAAGCGCCGCGTTCTGAAATCAAATCACTCAGGATCCGTTTCTTCCGCGCATAGTCCTGCCAATTTCCGCATAGTCCGTTTCTTCCGCGTTTCAAACGTAAGGCTTGCGCTGTGAATGCTTCTTGACTGACTGAAACTCAATTCCGTTTCTTCTTTGCCCCTTTCCGCTCTTCTTCCTCTCTCCAGCTCGCGTCTCGCCGGCGAGAACGCCAAGGTGACGGGCTTCATCGACCGCATCCAATGCTACCTTCTAGAGAAGGTCGGCGGCACGGGCACGTCAGGCCCCTTTAAGACCCCCAATGCGGGCGACGCGGCGACGCAGACGGCGAACGCGGTTAACTACCCGCTCAGCTTCGTCGGCGGGCTTTGCAACGGCACCGCGCTCGTCGAAAACGACCCGCACCTGACCGGCGCGCACGGCACCCACTACGACTTCACCGGGCGCCTCGACCGGTCGTTTTGCCTCTTCTCCGACAGTCGATTCCACGTGAATATGCATCTGAACGGCTACCAGGGCGCCCCGCCCGCTCTTCCCGCGTCGGCGACATCGTCGAACAAGGAAACGAGCACGGAGCTTCACACGTGGATTAAGGAGGTCGGCGTGGTGTGGATGACTCCCGACGGCGCGAACCACACGCTGCGCATGGTGGCGCGCAAGGGCAAGCAGCAGGAGCGTGGGGACAACGGCTTCCTCTCGCTGCTTGAGATCGACGGCAAGACGACGAGCCCGCCGAGCGTCGGCGAATCGATCGCGACAGAAAGCGGGCTGGTGGTTACCAAAGTCGCGGAGGAGAAAGAGGGACCGTTCGATGTGGATCAGTTTCAGGTGCGCGTGGTGGGGCTGGGGGAACTCGACGTGCGCGTGCGCGTGGCGCACCCGCTGCTGCAGACCCCCTCGGAGGCGGAGACCCACTTCAACGTCGAACTTTCCGACGTGAAGATGACGTCAGCCGTGCACGGCGTGCTCGGGCAAACGTTTAGGAACTCGCCGGAGCAGCTGCAGCGCGCGATTAAGTACTCGCACTTAGCGGCGCTGCTGCGGCACCCCGTGGACGTGGATAAGGCGGAAGGGAAGGGGTTTCTGGACGGGGAAGTGGAGGACTACATCTCCTCGTCGATCGTCGCGCCGGACTGCAAATACGCCAGCTACGGCTCTGCCTAAGAGAGGATTCTAATTACCGAGTCACCCCTTACAAGTCATAGATTCGTCGTGGATCGTGACTCGTGATTCGTCAAGGAATCTTGACTCCGCTTTAGTCTGTCCATGCACCCAACCAATGGCCGCTTTCAAGGCAAATAAGGGGCTGGGACTCCTGTTTTGCATAAAATTATGTACTCTTATTATAAAATTATGATTTCAAACTAGAGCAATGTGACCGATTTATTGATGCAAAAATCAAGAAAAACATGCCTACAGTACCGATTACACTTGTCTAAATGCAGCAAATGCCAAACATCAACACCAACCAGCCTCTTGTTCTCCATCTGCAACTTTGAGATACAGTATCCTCAATCCCGTAGTATCTCGCAATTCATGCAAGTCCCAGATTCTCCGTTTCCTCAGTGCTCTGACTCTCCCTACCTGCGCCCACAACATCCGTCTCTTGACTCGATAACTCCGCTGTAGCTTCCTCAACCGCAAACCTAACCAACTGTGCACCGACCTCCTCCTCTTGCCCTCCTTCCTCGTGCATTTCCCCTGCTACAGCAACTTCTGCGATAATGTCCCCTCCCGCAGTGTCAATAGGACTGCAGCTGTCAACCTGGACCTCTCTTTCCTCTACAGCAGCTTCTGCTACAGCACCCCCTGCCACAGCAGCTTCTGCTACAGCATCCCCTGCTACAGTATCACTTGTTACGGCATCCCCTGCTACAGTATCCCTTGTAACGGTATCCCCTGCTACAGCAGCTTCTGCTATAATGTCCCCTTCCACAGTGTCAATGGGACTGCAGCTGTCAACCTGGACCTCTCCTTCCTCCATCTCTTCTGCATCATCCTCTTTATAAGCATCTTCGAGAGCATAAGCACCAGTGCCAGTATAAGCACCGTCAGCAGAATTGGCATCAGTAGTATCAGCAGCAGGAGCAGCAGCGTTACCAGCAGTGGCAGCAGCAGCAGCTTCAGACACAGCAGCAATAGCATCATCATCAGCAGCAGCATCCAAAGCAGCAGTAATAGCATCATCGGCAGCAGCAGCATCCGAAGCAGCAGTAATAGCATCACTGTCAGCAGCACTGACATGAGTCTCTTTCTCTCCCTCTATCCCATTTTCTATACCATTACCACCATCCTGCGTGTTACACTCCCTGCTTCCCTCCATGCCTCCTCCCACCACCTCCCCTTCTTCAAGAGATGCACTCCCATGCTTGATATCATCATTCACTTCCTTCTCACTCCCATTCCTTATTATCTCTTCTCCCTCCTCTCTCCATCCTCTCTTCGCAAGCCCCTCCCCTTCCTCCACCAAAGCACTCCCATTCGTAATCCACCTTGTCGCATCCCCTTCGGTCCTCCCATGCATGGCGCTCTGCTCTTCCTCCTCCTCATACGATGGGCTCCCATGCATGGCGCTCTGCTCTTCCTCCGCCTCATACGATGGGCTCCCATGCATGGCGCTCTGCTCTTCCTCCGCCTCATACGATGGGCTCCCATGCATGGCGCTCTGCTCTTCCTCCTCCTCATTCGATGGGCTCCCAAGCTCAGCGATTTTCTCTTGAGGGGGTGGTAGGCATTGTTGCCTTGCTGCCACAGTTCCTGCCGCTGCTATCTCACCTATAACTGCTGCCGCTCCACCTGCCGCTGCTGCTGCTGCTTCTGCTCCTGCTTCCGCGTCTGATTGCACAGTCAAATATTGTTGCCTTGCTTCTATAGCTGCTGCTGCTATCGCACCTGAAACTGCTGCTCCTCCTTCCTTTCCTGTAGATTCTGTGACTCCTGCTGCTGCTGCATCTTCTTCTGCTGCTCCTGCTTCTGCGACTCCTACTGCTCCTGCTTTGGCTTCTGCTCCTCCTGCTTCTGCTGCTACTGCTTCTGCTCCTGCCGCTTCTGCGTCTGCTGCTTCATCTGCTCCTGCAGCTTCTGCTTCAACTTCTTCTGCTCCTGATTCTACAAATGCTCTTATGCCGTCAGCTGTTGTTTCTGCTCCTGCTGCTCCTCCCACCTCTACTCCGGCTGCTGCTCCTCCTCCAGCGCTGGCTTGTTTGGCGACTGGTGTGGGCTGCGGAACAAGTAGGCGTGTCGACTGTTCTGCTGCAGCAGATGGCTGGGATGGGACTGGTAGGTGAGCTGGCGGCTGTGTTTGCAGGGGAACGGTTGCTGCTCCTCCTTCTCCACCGCCGGCTTGTTTGGCCACTGATGTGGGCTGCGGAACAGGTAGATGTGGCGACTGTTCCGCAGCAGACGGCTGCGAGGGGACTGGTAGGTGTGCTGGCGGCTGCGATTGCAGGGGAACGGACGGCTGGGATTGGTCGGGTGGGTGTGGCGACGGCTGAGATTGTAGAGGAACGTATGGCTGGGATTGGACGGGTGGGTGTGGCGATGGCTGTGTTTCCAGGGGAGCTGACGGCTGGGCGATTCCAAAACACGGCTGGGAAATCTCGAAGCGATGCTGTGACAGTGGATTTAGGGTAGCAGGATGGAGTTGAGAGGAAGGTGGTATCTGGGAGGGAGGCGATATCTGAGAAGGCAGTGGCATCTGGAAGGGAGGTGGTATTTGGGAAGGAGGTTGCGTTTGGAAGGTAGGTAGTATCTGGGAGGGAGGTGGTTTCTCGGAGGGAGGTGGGATCTGGGAGGGGCGTGGCATTTGAGAGAGAGGTGGCTTTTGAGAGGGAGGCAGTATCTGAGATGGAGGTGGTATCTGGGAGGGTGTTGGCATTTGTGAAGGAGGTATTATCTGAGAGGGAGGTGGCATTTGGGAGGGAGGTGGTATCTGAGAGGAAGGTGGTATCCTGGAGGTAGGTGGTATCTCGGAGGGAGGTGGCATTTGGGAGGGAGGTAGTATCTGGGAGAAGAAGTGAGGAGATGGGCGGCAGTGTGTGGGAGGGGAACTGTAGGGGAAAGGATGGTTGAGGGATGGGGAGAATGGGGGTGGGGACGATGGGAGGGGTTGAGGGTATGCGGGGGAAGGAGGGGTTGGGAGCGGTTTGGAGGGAAGGTGCTCTTCTGATGCTGACGTGGAGTCTTTAAAGACACCTGGCGACTGGGAGGAGTTTTTAGGAGGAGACTGGGACGAGTTATTAAGAGGAGACTGCGACTTTTTAAGAGGCGACTGCGAGTTTTTAAGAGGCGACTGCGAGCTTTTAAGAGGGGACTGCGAGTTTTTAAGAGGCGACTCCGAGCTTTTAAGAGGAGACTGCGAGTTTTTAAGAGGCGACTGCGAGTTTTTAAGAGGCGACTGCGAGTTTAAGAGGAGGCAATGGGAGACCTTAACTGGCGACTGCGAGTTCACGAGAACGCATTTAGAAGCCTTGACTGGCGACTGCGAGTTTTTAAGAGGTGACTGGGATAGCTCGGTAGGGGTTTCTTCAGAGGAGCTTATAACAATGGGGAATGATGAAGAGGCTCCTTGGGACTCCCTTGGGGAAGCGACAGCTATGGGAGGCATGGGAGGCGGAAGAGAGGAGGGAGAAGGGGTGAGAGCAGGAGGAGAGGGGGCAGGTGGTATGGGGGGAGGAAGAGAGGAGGGAGGAGGTATGAGAGAAGGAAGAGATGAGGGAGGAGGAATGGGAGGAGGAAGAGAGGAGGAAGGAGGTATGGGAGGAGGAAGAGAGGTGGAAGGAGGTATGGGAGGAGGAACGGAGGAGGTGACCGGCACAGCAGGTACCACAGGAGCAAGAGAGGAGGGAGGAGGTACGGGAGGAGGGCGAGAGGAGGGAGGAGGTCTGGCAGAAGAAAGGGAGGCATATGGAGGTGTGGGAGGAGAGAGAGAGGGATGTAGAGGTGTGGGAGGAGAGAGAGAGGTAGCAGCAACTTCAGCAGACTTAGCTACAGCAGCGACCGCCACAGAAGAACCAATTACAGCAGTGTCAGCATTAGCAGCAGCAGCGTCAGCACCAGCAGCAGCAGTGTCAGCACCAGCTGCAGCAGTGGCAGCACCAGGTGCAGCAGTGTCAGCACCAGCTGCAGCAGTGTCAGCACCAGTTGCAGCAGTGGCAGCACCAGTTGCAGCAGTGGCAGCACCAGTTGCAGCCGTGGCAGCACCAGTTGCACCAGTTGCACCAGTTGCAGCAGTGGCAGCACCAGCTGCAGCCCCTGAAGCCTCATTGCCATCATACCTCCCCTCAAGCTGTAGTTGCTTTGCAGCCGTCCCATGCCCACCACCTCCCTCCACGTCTGCAGCAGCAGCAGCAGCAGTGTCAGCAGCAGCAGCAGCAGTGTCAGCTGCAGCATCAATCCCTGCCACATTACCCTCGACACTCTCGCCAAGCCTTAGCTGCTTTGCTGGCGTCCCATGCCCACCACCATCACCCTCCCCATCTCCACCGGACCCAAAAACCTCCACACGTCTCCTCTTCCTCTCCTCTGGCTCTCGCTTCTCCCCTCCGTGCTCTCTATCCATGTCGCTCTCCCCTCTCGTTTCCTTATCCACACAGCTTCCAGTTTCCTCCAGCTGCTGCCGTCCCTCTTCCTCCTCTTCCTTCTCCTCCTGTGGCCGCTGCTCTTGTCTCTCGGCCACCTCCCCCTCCTGCTGCTGCTGCCGCTCTTGAAGCTCCTGCTGCCTCTGCATCTCCACCTGCTGCTGCATCTGCTGTTGCTGCTCCTCCTCCTGCTGCTTCGGCTGCTCCTCCTCCTCCTGCTCCTCCTGCTGCTGCATCTTCTCCTGCTGCCGCTCCTCCTCCTCCTGCTCCTCCTCCTGCTGCTGCTGCTCCTGTTGGTGCTCTTCCTGCTGTTGCTCCTCTTGTTCCTGCTCCTCCTGCTGCTCCTCCTGCTGCTCCTCCTGCTGCTCCTCCAGCTGCTCCTCCTGCTGCTCCTCCTGCTGCTCCTCCTGCTGCTCCTCCTGCTGCTCCTCCTGCTGCTCCTCCTGCTGCTCCTCCTCCTGCTGCTCCTGCTGCTCCTGCTGCTCCTGCTGCTCCTGCTGCTCCTGTCGCTTTTTCTGTTGCTGCTGCTCCTCCTGCTGTTGCTCCTCTTGCTGCTGCTCCTCCTGCTGCTCCCAACCCTGCCTTGCCTCAGCCACCCTCCCATCAGGTGTAACACGATTAGGCGTAACACGGTTAGGTGTAACACAATTAGGCGTAACACGGTTAGGTGTAACACGGTCAGGCATAACTCGATCGGGTGTAACACGGTCAGGCATAACTCGATCGGGTGTAACACGGTCAGGTGTAACTTGATCCGGCATAGCATGATAAGGTGTAGCACGGTCAGGAAAAAACTGATTAGACGAAGTAAGATCGGAAGCCAGGACAGGGACAGAGAGCAGAGACAGGCGCACACCAAGAGAAGCAGTCCCATGGGGGAGAGACAGGCCAAGCCTCTGACGAGGAGGAAACTGCAAGCCCCTCGCCTCTCGCCCCTCTCCCCTATCCTCCACTCCCTCGCTCTCCTCTGCCCCATCCTGTAAGCCCCTCTCTTGTCGCCGGTCCCTATCCTTCACTCCACTTTCCCCCCTCCCTGGCAACTCATTCGGCCTTAGAAAGCCTCTTACTGCCAACCCTCTCCACTCCTCTAGAATATTCTCCCCTGAGCCCAGATGTTCCACCGAAACGCTCTGATTCAAAGAGCCTCTCCTCGGGGCGTCTCCTCTGTCCAAGCGATCACCTGGCTGCCTCTTTCGCTTCCTACCTGCAAGCTCTGCTGCGGCTGCTTCTTCGGTTGCTGCTGCGGTTGCTGCTGCAGTGTTTGCTGCACCTGCTGCTGCAGTTTTTGCTGCAATCTCTGTTGCACTCTGATCAACGCCAGCCAGGTGGAATGGTGCTAAGCGATCCGAATACAGTGGAGCTCCTACGGGGGGTGCCTGTAGTGGCGGTGCTGCAAAGTTTGCTCCAGTTGCAGCTGTACAAAGTGCTCCACTCTCTGTTGCACGTTGATCAACGCCAGCCAGGTGGAATGCTGTTGCCGCACCCCCATCCCTCACCACAGCAGCAGTTACTGTGGCTGCCCTTTCAAACCCAGCAGCAGGAGCAGCAGGAGCAGCAGGAGCAGCAGCAGCAGCAGCAGTCGCCGCAGCAGGCTCTACGGGTCTTGCTTCAGCTTGTCTTACTTCCGATGGGCCTCTTCCGTTAGGTTCTGCCTCAGCAGGTCTTGACTCAGTAGGCCCAAGAGGTCTTGCTTCAGGAGGATCTATCTCTGCAGGCTCGAAGGGTCTTGTTTCAGCTTGACTTACTTCAGAGTGCCCCCTTCTGTTGGTTTCTGCCTCAGCAGGTGTTGATTCAGTAGGGCGGGGGTTACCACTGGGCCTTACGAGATCATCGATAAACTCTGATAAAGGCCTGGAAGGAAGGGAGGGAGCGGGGGAGAGGCACACACACAGAGGAACACACACACACACACACACATTGAGGCCGATTGTAGTAGACACTGCAATTCAGGCAGTATCCCTGGCTGCCTGTTCTTTTATTGGGAAAAAAAAAAAAAAAAAAAAAAAACATAGATTCAGTAGATGCATTTCATGCCTCTTACCTATAATGGTCAGCTTAGGGCGTGTAGCCTACGGTTTCGTCGGCCTACGGTTGCGATATTCGCAAGTTCCGTTCGTCGCTGGAACATCGAGTTTCGAAACTGGATGTTCCATCGCTCAAACATTTGAACGTCGTGCGAAAAGTAATTTGCGAAGAAACGAGAACCAAACCCTCGTAAGCCAATCACACGCCAGGCATGACGAATCTCGCGGCACACATTTTGTTTTGTCACTCCGCGATTGGCGGTTCAGGCGCACGAGCAAATGCGATCGTTGAGTTGGTGTTTTTTTCTTGCAGGCCTCGCATGTTCTTTTCGCACAGAACTGAAGGGAGATTCTTGAACGGCCGTCCGGACGACCGTTCGGAACTGCCGTCCGGACGTCGCTGGAACATCGAGTTTCGAAACTGAAGTACCCTTCGCTACAGGCATAGCGAATTTACGTGCGAATTGTGGCGAAATCTGTCACCATACCAAAACTCGGACGGAACTCAGTTCCGAAACCGTAGGCTACACGCCCTTAGACCATATCCATGTGCTTGAACCTAATTGCTGTTGTACCTTACATACTCAGCATCTTGGGTGGTAACATAATAAGGGGTATATCGAATGAATGTACCTTACACGAGGGGTATCTCCATGTGCTTGAACCTTAAATACTCGGCGGTGACTTGGGTGGTACCTAGCAACATATGGGATATACAGCGAATTAATGTACCTTACATGAGTGGTATCTTGGCCGGCCACAACAGCTTGTATGCGTGCCGCCACTTCACTCTCTATACGAGCTCTGGTGAGAGGGAGAGAGGGGGAGAGACGGAGAGGGGGAGTGGGGGAGTGGGGGAGTGGGGGAGTGGGGGAGAGGGGGAGTGGGGGAGTGGGGGAGAGGGGGAGTGGGGGAGTGGGGAGGGACGAAGGGGGACAGAGGACAGGTGGTACCCTGGCCGGCCGGCCACAGTAGCGTGTATGCGTGCCGCCACTTCACTCTCCACACGAGCTCTAGTGAGAGGGAGAGATAGAGGGTTGGCGAGGGGTGCAGGGGGAGGGAGGTATGCAGAGGATTGCAGATGGGTGCAGAGCGGTGCCACTTCGATGTTCCTCATACAGGTGGTACCCTGGCCGGCCACAGCAGCTTGTACGCATGCCGCCACTTCACTCTCCATGGGTGATCTGTGGAAGAAATGCAGAGAGGCGAGCTGCATCGAACCAAATTCTCGTATCAGCCTGGCTGTGGTACGGAGGTGCCCTGGCGGGGCAAAATTGACTGAACCGTGCTGTCACTTCACTCTCTATGCGACTTTTGAGTCGACTCAAAATTGACTGAACCGTGCTTTCACTTCACTCTCTTTGCGGGGCTCTGAAAAACACAAGGGAAGAGCGGTGCAAATGGGTGCAGAGGTGTGCAGAGCAGGGATGATGCGCATGGAAGAGTGACCTGGACATTTGCTGACCTGGGCGCCTGCTTACATCAGCTCCTGCTCTCATGCCAGCTGTAGAACCAATGGGGCAGATGGGAGCAGAGGAGTGCAGAGGAGTGCAGAGGAGTGCAGAGGAGTGCAGAGGAGTGCAGAGGAGTGCAGAGGAGTGCAGAGGAGCGCAGAGGAGTGCAGAGGAGTGCAGAGGAGTGCAGAGGAGTGCAGAGGAGTGTAGAGGGGATGATGTAAACTTTTGCTCGTCTGGGTGTTTGCTTACATCAGCTCCCGCTCTCGTGCCAGCCGTAGAACCACCGGGTCTGCTGCTGCTGCTGCTGCTGCTGCTGCTGGTGTTGCTGCTGCTGCTGGTGCTGCTGCACCGTCTTTTGCGCCTGTAGCCTCTGCACGTCCTGCTGTTCCTTCACCAGAACCCTCTGCCATAGCACCTTCTGCCTCTGCTCCTGCCTCAGCTAATAGCTCCTGCGCACACAATGGCCCACGAGACAAAACGAGACAGACTCGAAGGTATCTGATTCTGTCAATGACCAAAAGTGTCTGATTCTGTCAATGACCAAAAGTGTCTGATTCTGTCAATGACCAAAAGTATCTGATTCTGTCAATGACCAAAAGTATCTCAAAAGACCCACCAGGGCAATAGCTCCCGCACACACAACCACCCACCCACCCATACACCCACACACACCCACACACCCACACACCCACACACACCCACACCCACACACACCCACACACCCACCCACCCACCCACCCACCCACATCCACCCACACCCACCCACCCACCCACCCACCCACCCACCCACCCACCCACACACCCACACACCCCCCCACCCACCCACCCACACACCCACACACCCCCCACCCACCCACCCACCCACCCACCCACCCACCCACCCACCCACCCACCCACACACAGCTCCTCAAACGTGACTGAAAACGTGAGAATTTGATGAGCCTCAAAACGTGACTTGTGCCTCAGCTCCTGCTTGCTTCAGCCAATACCGCCCGCCCGCCCGCACAGGGCTGGTTTGAGCAACAAGTTTGATTCGCACAGACTCGTTGCCTGGAAAAGTCTTTGAAGTCTCACACACGCACACACACGGTGACCCACGAAGTGACTTTTGAGTGGACTCAAAAGTCTTTGAAGTCTCACACACACACACACGCACGGTGACCCACGAAGTGACTTTTGAGTCGACTCAAAAGTCTTTCAAGTCTCACACACACACACACGCACGGTGACCCACGAAGTGACTTTTGAGTCGACTCAAAAGTCTTTCAAGTCTCACACACACACACACGCACGGTGACCCACGAAGTGACTTTGAGTCGACTCAAAAGTCTTTTAAGTCTCACACACACACACGCACGATAACCCACGAAGTAAAAGTCATTTGTCTTCCCTGACGTGTGTAATGAGTCGATTTTTGAGTCGACTCATTACACACGGCCTTCCCTGACTGTCCTGCTCAGTCCGTAAGCCCTTTGCACAACCAGTTCTGATAAAGAGTATCTTCAACGGTTCGTCTACCAAGAGGTAAACCCTAATCAGTTCGTCTACCTCTTGAGTCGACTCAAAAGACACCTTGTCTACCGAACCTCTCTCCCCGCCGAACCTCTCTCCCCGCCAAACCTCTCTCCCCGTCAAACCTCTCTCCCCGTCAAACCTCTCTGCCCGCCAAACCTCTCTGCCCGCCAGACCTCTCCGCTCCACGCAAACGAATCTCGCTAAAACAGATACGCTGACAGTGAAGCATGCATTCTCCTGTGAAACTCGCCTTGCTCGCTTAGGGAGTTTCCTCCCCCTCGTCTACCTGTTCGTCCAATTCTCTGCCCCTTGATTCACCCAATCACCCTAGCTATGCACGTGTTCTCCTCTCCCGCTGCACCCGACATCCTCCCTCTTACAAAATGCTGTAAACTCTCTATCTCTCACTCACCCACCTGACCAAACCACACCGCACCGCACCTCAGCAAGCCACCCACATGTTCTCTTCCAGTTTTGAGGTGCCCCAAATCCAGTACCACCCGACATCCTCCCGGCCCACCCGACATCCTCTCTCACCCACCTGATCAAAACACAATGAACCTGGGCAACGCACAGGTTCTCTTCCAGTGTTGAGGCGCCTCAAAACTAGGCCCGACATCCTCCCCCTTCAAAATCCCGTACCTCTATCTCTCTCACTTCCACCCACCTGACCAAAGCAAGCACACCTCACCTGAGCAGCGCACATGTTCTCTTCTGCTGCTGCACTCAGCACGTTCCTTCCCTCCTCCTCGCCCGGTCTGATCTCCCCCTCCCTCTCTCCCCCCTCACTTCTCCACCTCACCTGAGCAACGCACATGTTCTCTTCTGCTGCTGCACTCAGCACTCGAGCAAGACTCTGGTTGGACGAGAGAAGGGAGGTATGGCGGGAATCGGAGGAAGACCGGGAGAAGAGCAAGGGGAGTGGGTCGGTAGTCACTGAGCAACGCACGGGTTCTCTTCCGCTGCTGCGCTCAGCACGCGAGCAAGACTCTGGTTGGAGACGCGCAGGTTAGTGGGAGGAAGACAGGGATTGGCGGGTTGGGGCCGGGGGGGAGGGAAGGGGGAGGATTGATTAGCAAGACTCTGGTTGGAGAAGCGCAGGGTAGTGAGAGGAGGACAGGGATTGGCGGGGGAAACAAAAGGTGGGGGCCGGGGGGGAAGGGGGGGGGGGAGCGCCATGCGTGCAGGAGGGCGGGAGGAAGGAAGTAAGAAGGAGAAAGGGAATGAGGGGGGTTGGAAAAGAAAAGTTAGAAAGGGGAAGACGGTCAATCAAGAGTGGAGCAAGATGAGCTGGCGAAGCGAGACTGTGGTTGCAAGAGTCTTCCTCAAATACCACAGGAAGTGTATTAATTTTCAGGCGTAAAAAAAAAGCTGGCGAGACTGCGGGTGGGTGCAAGATTCTTGGTGAAATCCCACGGGAAGTGAAATATTTCACCTAAGGGAGGTGCAACGACACGGTAATAATGTGTTATGAGTCTATTTTTTAGTCGACTAAAAAATATTTCACTTAGGGAGGTGCAACGACACGGCAATCATGTGTTATGAGTCTATTATTGAGTCCATTCAAAAATATTTCACTCAAGGGGAGGTGCCATGACATGGTAATCATGTGTTATGAGTCTATTATTGAGTCGACTCAACAATATTTCACTTAAGGGGAGGTGCAATGACACGGTAATCATGCGTTATGAGTCTATTTTTGAGTCGACTAAAAAATATTTCACCTAAGCGAAGTGCAACGACACTGTAATCATGCATTTCTTTACACGTGAAATCAGATGATGACGTCATTCCATGCATTTCTGTATCTGTGTTTTATGCCATCACACCATGCACTGCTACAGCTGCATATCGAGATGCCCCAGAAGCTTATGCCTGACATGTGTGGAGTGGTGGCTTGAACCTAAACCCCAAAACCCTGACCTGGCATTAACCGTGCACCTTAGAACCAAGCCCCAAACCCGGAAAATGCTGCAGCTGCATATCGAGATGCCCCAGAAGTTTATGCCTGTCATGTCACATGTGTGGAGTGGTGGCTTCGACCTAAACCCCCAAACGCCAACACCGCACCCCAAACCCGGAGTCATCATACCATACACTGCTGCAGCTGCATATCGAGATGCTCCAGAAGCTTATGGCGAGCTGCACTGCAAACTGACATGTGCTGGCCTGGGCGCGGATATGACAGAAAGGGGAAGTCGCAAAAATGGCAAATATTTGCAAAATTTTGAGAGACTTCCATCGCATATTGACATGTGAAGGCAGGAGGGAGGGGAGTGGAGAAAGGGGAAATCGCAAGGCAGAACAGGCGTCACCACAATCTGACAAGTGACAGCATGCAAACAGAAGATGGGAGTGAGGGGGAGAAATTGGGGGTCCGGGGTGAGGAGGGAGAGATGGGAGAGTGAATGTAACCTCCCCGTGTGTATTGAGTCTATTTTTTAGTCGACTAAAAAATGTAACCTCCCCCAGCTGATTCCCTCCAACCCGGAATATGCACAGAGAATTTAAAGCCCAAGGTTTAAGGTTGACGTTTTAGGGTTTAGACTCTAGCCCGAAACCCTGACCCCTTGCCTTTAGAACTGAATTGTAAGTTTTATGGAAAACAACTTAAAGCGAGGGTCTCGAGAAGCAAAAAAACCAATCCCTAAGGTTTTGGTTTCGGGGGGTCTCGAAAATTGCGAAGTGTGGTGAGGGGTGCTAGTTGGGCGCTGTTACTGTTTCGCTGATTTCGTCAACCCAAAACCAAACCTTTTGGATTTGGTTTTTTGCTTCTCGAGACCCTCGCTTTAAGAGACGATTGGAGCAGTCACGACCAACCAACCATGAGGACGCAGGAGTAGGATCACGTTGAAGACCAACCAATGAGAGGAAGGAGAGTTGCCACCTGTGCATCTCTGGCCCTCCACGTGGCATCCCATGCTCTCTTCAAGTGCTGCAGTTCAGCAAACGTGGCAAAACGCATGGCAGCGAATGCAAGTCGGATGTGGGGGAAGGGAAATGGGGTTGCGCCACGTGGTATGTGGCACGTGGTATGTGGCATGTGACATGTGTGTGTGTGTGGGGGGGGGGGGTATTGCCAAGAGTTGCAACCGCTGCATCCCTGGCCCTCCACGTTACATCCCCCCTCTCTAATTCCTGGAATGCAGGAGGAGAGGAGGACAGCAGGGAGAGTTTTTTGAGGCGCCTCAAAAGGCAGGGAGAGTAAGACGATGAGACCTGATGTGTGAGTGCGAGGGAGGGATCGAGGCCAGTTAGCATGAGCCTTGCCTGTGTTATTAGTATAGTTTCCACACGCTGTCGCACACAAGCCTCCTCATCCTCCGGATGCCCTGCTCCATCCATCCTAGCCTGGTTCCTTCTTGCTCTGGCGGCGCTTGTAGGTAATGCGATTCGCTGTCCGACTCTCCTGAGAAATCCCCGAGACTAGATCTCGTGTCCTCTAGCTCTCAAACCCCTCTTGTTTGGTTTTGGAGGGTGTTTTTGAGAATTCTCAAAAACACCCCTCTTGTTGGTGTCTTTTCATGGATCTGGCTTTGGCTCAGTATTACATCCACTAACAACGAGCTTACAGGCCTTCCCACGATTGCAAGAGAACAAACAGAGTAAGCAAGAAACAGCTTTCCAGCGGTTTTAGGCTACTCCGAGCAAACGCACTACTGAGCCCTCCCCTTCCCTCCCTGGCGACCAGCCGTGCGCCATTTTCGAGGTTTTCGCCACCATGATGGCCCCAACCTTCCTGCCATCGGATCGACCAATCCACTGGCCGCATGTCCATCCAGCGAGCCGCTCCAGCCCCCGGTGTCCTGTATTACATCAGCCTCGGACACTGCCAGCTATCGCAACCGCCCTCCCAGGGTCTCACTCCACCCATCACTGTACACTCACCGAAAGTCACATAAGGCCCTACAGTACTTCTGTGCTACACCGCTCCACCTCTAACCTTAAGCGCTGTCCCATGAATTGCAAATAACTTTCCAGTTAATGCAATTCATGCGACAATGCCCCAAAACTACATGATTATGACATGGCACGGCAGGGAGTGTAAGGCAATGAGACCTGACATGTGAGTGCGAGGGAGCGAACGAGGCCAGGCCAGTGAGAATGAGCCGTGCCTGCAGAGTGGTTACAGATGGAAATGTGGTTACAGTTGTCCATGTGGTTGGGAAATGTCTATAGCGGGGATGAACAGATGAACATTGAACAGACCGAGGTGAGCATGCCTGAGAGGTGAGTGCGAGGGAGCGATAGAGGCCAGTGAGAGAATCGATGGATCTCGCGCAGAGCTCCACGTCCGTCAGTGCCTGCTGCTCGCGAGCCCTCTTGACTCTGTAGTGGGGAGCATTATAGTGGGGATGAGGACAGACGTCAACGGAATGGATCTCGCGCAGAGCTCCACGTCCATCAATGCCTGCTGCTCGCGGGCTCTCTTTACCCTGTATTAAACAAATCAGTGATAGCATAGATAAGCATTATAGCGAGGATAAGTTCAAAAATCGATGGATCTTGCGCAGAGCTCCACGTCCATCAATGCCTGCTGCTCGCGAGCTCTTTGGACCTTGTAGTAAATCAATAAGTGATAGCACGGATGAGCATTATAGCGGGGATAAGTTCAAAAGTCACCAGACTGAGCGCAGAGCTCCACGCCCATCAATGCCTGTCTGCTGCTGCTGCCTGCTGCTCACGGGCTCTCCTGAACCTGGTGTTAAGATTGCCATGAAGAGCACTATAGCGGGGCAGGGACACGCTCAAGAGTCAACAGACTGAGCACAGAGCGACTGACCTGGTGATGAGAAACTGTAGCGGAACTGATAGTAACGGGGTAATCGGAACTACTGGGCCGCTGCTTAGAGACGTGCTAGCTGGTGGACCTCCACTCTCCATTGCGATTAATAACGCGCAGAAGCCCACACAAGTTATTACCCTAGGCTAGGCTAACAACCTAGCCTTGATAATTAGCAGCTGGTAGCGGGGTGTAACGGAATAAATTTCGGCGGCTGCGAAAATCTTAGAGCGTAACCTAACCGAGCGCCTGACAGCCGATTCTTGGAACTGTCGCGAAATGACGCTGACTATGACAGTGATAATGGTCGGCAAGACCATAAAATGCGCTGAGGCGAGGGAGGGTGCTGTACTTTCCCCGCAGGTGCGCAGACTGAAACGAGGGGCGTTGTGCCAATGCTGGGAACGGGAAATGTCCCCCCTGGTACAGATACAGACGTGGACACAGGCGTGGAATCTATGCAGGAGCTAGGCTTAGGTTTAGGTGGCTCCCTTCCCTTACCTGCTATCACCAGCAGCACTCGGTACTATCCAGGGTGTTGAGTGCTTCGTGTTGTGTGTTCAGGCGCGTCACAAAAATATACCGCACTGAAACACACAGAAGTTACATTTTAACCAGACTGCACCGCAGCTTCGATGCAGCGCTGGTGAACTCTGGTTATTCGTCAGGCTGACGACAGGATCCAGGTGGGGTGTCAATTTTCGCATGGCTCGGTTTCGCTAAAACTATGATCACTTTCACACTAAGATTTCGCGAGAGTTCGCATCCATGTCGTTCTCAGTTACCCAGACTCGAGCCCATTTCGTCCATCATTTCCACTCGGAATCCTGTCCCCACTGTCAGCCCCCCCCTCCATCCCTCTCCACTTCAAACTCTAGGGTTACCATCTGAAACCCCAAACCCTTACGGTACAACTGCAATTCCTCCTCGGCATCCCCCCCACAATCCACCCTCCAACTGCTTCTCTCTGCTCTCCCTTGCCGACTCTCGAGTTTCCGCACAACATACCCCTTTCGTTTCTAGGCGTACGAAGGACGAGCGACTTCGTTCTGATTCTTCAGAAGCTCTCGAAACCGACTTGCCCTGACCTGACCTCTCTCGACATGACGTCAGCGGCCCTCGTAATAGATGCTTCGATTCTGTCCATCAATCTGCCGCGTGTGCCTAGGCACGACCCAGGGCGTGTTCTAAGGCACCGTGGGCTCGATCCCAGGACTTCTCGTCACCGCATTTCCGTAGCCGCGCGGCTTCCCTCCTCCTCCCCCGGTCATTCTCGCTCCCCCTGCTTCGTTGACGAGTCTCGGAGAGTTAAGAATGTCTCGTTTTCGCACGGATGCTCGGTTTTCTCGTCCAGCTTTATTCCCTGCGAAATTGCCGGGAATGCGAATGCGGTGGCATTGCCACGTACCTGCCGGGCTAGCGCAGCGCCGTCCTCGGCGGGACCTTCCTCGGGTATACCGTCCTCGGTAGCACCTTTCCCAGAAACGCCTTCCTCCGAGGTAGCGCGTAATAGCACTTCCGGAAAGCCGTCGCGCGGGCAGGCGAAAAAGGGGGCTAAGAAGGGCGGGCAGAAGAAGGAAAAATATTACAAGTCGGACGATAACGATTTGGAGTTCGGAAGCATCGAGGAAATGCAGCGATGGCTGACGACCAAACCCAAGGGGTTTATCGACCCGTCGAAACAGTACGATACTTCGTTAGAGGACCAGCTCTTAGCGGAGATAGAAGCAAAGGAGCAGCAGAAGGAACTGGAGGCAGCAGCGGGTGGGGGGGATAAGGCGGGAGCGAATGCGGGGGAGAAGGCGGGTGAGGGGAAGGGGGAGAAGCAAGGGGAGAAGAAGGGGAGGAGCAAGCAGGCAGGAGATTTCGATGGGCCTGTGAAGGGGAAAAATACCAAAGGTCAGTTTTTTCCCCTTTTTTTAATGACTCTGTTTAACTTTCAAGATTACCCTCCTTTTATATGGTAACTCCATTGCCCTACCACTAACGCTGTAGGGCGACTATTTTTCCTCCACATAATTTTAGGCTCCACGCTTTGCTATTGACAGCATAAAAAATAATCACCGGCAGGGTTTTTGTGGTTCTGGGCTCTCGGGCTCAACTCCGTTGCAGTAGCCGGGGCGAATGAGCGCGCGCAGCTTGGGCTAAAGGCACCTAGGAGGGTGCTAGGACTAAAGGCACGTGCCAGGGTTTTTGTAGGGATTTGGGGGTTTCGGCTCTTGGGCTCTCGGGCTCAAGTCCGTTGAAGTAGCTGGGACGAATGAGTGCGTGGAGCTTGTGCGTTGGGCACCTGGTAGGGTTCTGGACTTAAGGCACCTGGCAGGGTTCCGGGCTTAAGGCACCTGACAAGGTTCTGGGCTTAAGGCACCTGGCAGGGTTCTGGGCTTAAGGCACCTGGCAGGGCGTTTGTAGGGTTTGGGCTCTCGGGCTCTCGTATGTTGAAGTAGCCGGGGCGAATGAGTGCGTGGAGCCTGTGCCTTGGCACGTGGCGGGGTTCTGGGCAAGGCACCTGGCAGGGTTCCGGGCTTAAGGCACCTGGCAGAGTTCCGGGCTTAAGGCACCTGACAGAGTTCCGGGCTTAAGGCACCTGGCAGGGTTCCGGGCTTAAGGCAATAGGCGGGGCTCCGGGCTTAAGGCAATAGGCGGGGTTCCGGGCTTAAGGCAACAGGCGGCGTTCTGGGCTTAAGGCAGTTGACTATGCGGCTTTTCTGACCACTCCAGTTCACTGTGCTAAAAACTTGTACTTTTTCGCTCTCCCCGCCCATTCCCCGCCCCCCCTCCTCTAACCTCCTCTCCCCCTCCCCCCTGCCAAATTCCTTGACTCGTAGCTTCCGCCTTCCGCGATCACAGTCCGCGTGTCCGGGCTGTGATTTGGAACTGTGCAATCCCTCTCTCCCCGCCCATTCTCCGCTCCCTTTCCTCTTCCCCCTCCCTTCCCCCCCCCCCCCCCCCCCCCCCCCACCCCCCACCATTCCAAATCTCTAGACTCGGAGCTTCCGCCTTCCGCCATCAAAGGTCTTCTTGCGGATTGGCTCAAAGCGGTTCTGAGCAAATCCGTTCCTCCCTCTCCCCCTCCCCCCGCCGATTCCAAATCTGTAGAGTCGGAGCTTCCACCTTCCGCCATCAAAGTCCGCGTGTCCGGGCTGCCCAAGAAGAAAAAGATCAGCAGGGATCTGCGGGCAGCGTGGAACGGGCAGCCCGGGCTGCTGAAAATAATTCCCATGGAGACCGGATCCTCCTCTACTCGCGACCCTGTGTGCACTGGGAGTGCCGTGGTGGCGTTTCTGAAATTGTCAGATGCTGAAAGGTGGGTTCAGTGCGGTTCATATGGTTTCAGTTCAGTGTGGTGCAAATGCGTTCAGTGCAGTGCAAGTCGGTGTAAGTGGGTGGTAGCATGTATGGATCCCCATGGAGACCGGATCCTCCTCTACTACTCGTGACTCTGTGTGCACTGGGGGTGCCGTGGCGTGGTGGCGTTTTTTAAGTTATCAGATGCAGAAAGTTGGGTTCAGTGCGGTGCAAATGGGTTAAGTGTTCTGCAAGTCGGTGTGGGTGGGTGGTAACATGTACTGATCTCCGTGGAGACCATTGCACCCTCCTATTCCACACGTGACCCTGTGTGTGTGAAGTGAACTGGGAGTGCGTGGTGGCGTTCACGCGACCAGCAGATGCTGAAAGGTGGGTGTAGGGAGGTGCGAGTGGGCTCAATGCGGTGCAAGTCGGTGTGGATGTGGTGCCAGCATTTCTTATTTCCTGTGGAATCCGAGTCCCATTCCACACGTGACCCTGTGTGCACTGGGAGTGCTGTGGTGGCGTTTTAGTGACTGGCGGACGCGGAGAGGCATGCACAGCAACACAGGGTTGTAGATGGGTGCAGTGCGGTCCGAGATGGTACCACTCAGGTCAGGACCCTGTGTGTATTGGGAGTGCTGTGGTGGCGTTTCAGCTGCCTCTGCTGCCTCTGCCGCCTCTGCTGCCTCTGCCGCCTCTGCTGCCTCTGCTGCCTCTGCTGCCTCTGCCGCCTCTGCCGCCTCTGCTGACCCTGTTGGCTTTGTTGGCTCTGTTGTTTCTCTCTTCCCCTTCCCCCACCAGGTTCATCCAGCAGTACAATCGCTCAGCCCCCATCCGCTTCGGCCAGAAGGAGAAGGCCGTCTCCTGCAAGATAATCGGCGCCTCTGCTGACTCCTCCTCTCTGCCCCAAGCTGACCGTGGTAAGAGCACCTCCGTTAAGAGCACTTCCGTTAAGAGCAGCTCCGTTAAGAGCAGCTCCGTTAAGAGCACTGACGCTACAGTCACTCTGGGGGAAACTGCTGTTCAGAGCAGCGTTGGAAAGGGAGAGGTACCAAGCGTAAAGAGGGATAGCGCCCGTGCTGCTGCTGCGGCTGATGCCGAAGAAACAGTAGAGGCGCCAGCAGCGCCAGCATCAGCACCAGCGGCAGCGGTTGCACCAGCAGCAGATGCAGCGGCAGCGGCAGCGGCAGCAGCAGAAGCAGAGCCGGAAGCAGAAGGTGCGATGGCAGCTGGAGGAGGAAGTCGACAAGTGGGTGATAAGAAAGTGGCAGATGAGCGGAAGGGAAAGGAAGCGGGAGAGGGAGAGAAGGTTGCAGCGACTAAGGGAGAAAAGAAAGCCCTGGGCAATAAGGTGCAGGGGAGTGATAAACTGCAGGGGAGTACTAAACTGCAGGATAAGAAGGAGGTATGGTTGCAGCGACTAAGGGAGGATAAGGAGCTGAGAGCACGAGTAGAGGAGATTAAGAGCCGAGTCTTAAGAGATATGGCGGCAGCAGGGAAGGACGGGGAAGGGGGGGCTGGAGGGGGGGTTGGGGGGAGTGGGAGACTGAGGGTGAAAGAAAAGGGCGTGACTGTATCGAGATTGGGTGTGGGGGAGAGGAGAGGGGGAGAGGAGACGGGAGGTGGAGAGAGGAGGGTTGTGGAGAGGAGTAGGAGGGAGATGGAGAGGGGGGGTGGGAAGGAGGAGGTCGGGGTGAAGGGAAGGTGGAGAGGAGAGGAGGGAGGATTGAGGGGGAGAGAGGAGGAGGAGTGGGAGGAAGAGGAGGAGGAAGGAGAATGGGAGGAGGTGGAGGACGAGGAGGAATGGGAAGAAGCGGAGGAGGAAGATCAGAGCGAAAGTGAGGAGGACGAAGAGGAAGAGGAGGAGGAAGAGGAAGTGATAGTGGGTCAAGTGGAAGTGACTGTTGAGAGTGTTACAGTGGAGAGTGTTACTGTTGAGAGTGTGACAATTGAGAGTGTTACAGTTGAGAGTGACATTTCCTCGCTACAGTCACATGGGAAGGCAAAACGGATGCCGCAAGCACAAGTAGAGGAGCGTTTAGAAGCCTCAATCTCAACAGAGCAGGGTGGGGTTTCGGCAGCCACAGGAAAGGCAGCAAGTGCAGCAGCAGCAGCAGCAGCAGAATTTTCACGTGTTGCCTCATCACCCATTTCTCTCTCGGCCAAGAAGGGAGAGTCAGAGCAGCAACGAAGGGCAGAGGAGGAGGAGCAGCAGAGGGCAGCTGAGGCTCGCATAGAGGCCCTTGAAGCGAAGCTGCTTAAACTGAGTCAGGCGGGAGGGGGTGAAAATGAGGGGGGAGGGGGAGCAGGGAAGGGGAAGCGGGGGAAGGAGGGGAAGAAGCGCAGATAGCCTTTTAAGGAGCGCGGCTGAATCTCACACTGAAGCTCTTGAATCGAAGCTGCTTAAAATGAGGCAGGGAGGTGGAGGAGAGGAGAAGGGGGGAGCAAGGGAGCAGGAATGGCGAGGCGAGGCCAGGAGGGAAGTAAGTGCAGGCCGACTTGAAGCTATTGAAACGAAGCTGCTTATGGTGATGCAGGGGGGAGGAGGGGGGAAATGAGAGAGGAGGGAGTGGGGAGGAGGGGGAAATGAGGGAGGAGCGGGAGGAGCAGCAAAGGGGAGGCCGCATGAGGGGAAGAAATGCAGAGCAGATAAACAACTCTTCTAAGCTGGTCGGCTGAAGCCGGCTCTGAGGATCTCCAAGCAAGACGAGCAGAGGGAATGCGAGGAGAAAAAGTGCAGATAGGTGCTCTGTTACTGATAAGGTGTAAGCAGCCACTTGATTACGGTACTTTCTATGTCGGAGTATGGGGGAGCTTGTCTGTCTCATGCCATTCTGAATGCTGCAAGAACTTTGCCACAACTCAGTTGTTCACATGCATGCATACATGCCCCTCTGAGTAAACATGCCATTGACTATCCCAGCATGCACCAAAGAGAATCGTGAGTTGAGGGCACTAGTGAAACAACCAATTCAAGTAGATCAACGGACAAGAAGCTGCATGGCAGATTATCTACGGTTGTGTTCATCACCCAGCTCCAGTGCGGAATGCTCCTCCTTTCAGCAGGCGCTGGCGCTGGCGTTGGCGCTGGTGCCACGTAGAGTTCCACTGAGGGCAAGTCCCAGTGCACGGTGCAACCCAGTGGGAAACAGTTTTCCAGCTTCTCTTTGGTAAGGACGTGCCGTGAGGAACATCCGTAAGAATTCTTAGTTCCGGTATGATAATAGGAGGCCAAATAATAGGAGTGATTAGAGAAGACTACTATCAACATGCTACAAAATAGAGATTAGTATGCACTAAGAGAAAAAGCACTAAGAGCTTATGCGCTCGTGAATTTCGTCACGGCTTTCGTCCCTTCAGAAACAGCGTGCTTCGCCAGTTCCCCAGGCAGCGTCAGCCGCACAGCCGTCTGAATCTCGCGAGACGTAATAGTCGGCTTCTTATTATACCGCGCGAGCTTCGACGACTCCGTCGCGAGCTTCTCGAAGATATCGTTGATGAACGAGTTCATGATCGACATGGCCTTGGACGAAATCCCCGTGTCTGGATGCACCTGCTTCAGCACCTTGTAGATGTAGATCTTGTACGTCTCCGTGACGGCCTTGCGAGCCTTTTTCTTCTCCTTCTTCTCTCCGATGGGCTTCTTTCCGGCAGGAACGGCTTTCTTAGCGGCGGGCTCCTTCTTGGGTCCCTTCTTCGCGGCCTTCTGCTCTCCCTCTACCTTAGGAGCCATCTGAACGCAGCGGTTACTGACGATCGGAAAGGTGACGAAGAGAGAGAGTTGACGAGGAACGCAACTCAAAACGAAGCGAAAACTCTAAGAGCGGAGCGTTGCTGTCAAGTGCGTTGAGAAGAACTTGCGAATTGCAGAGTGAGTAACTCGGACTAATGACTATTTCTGCTGCACCGACGTATTTGAAGGGATTAGGCTGCAGTTGCGCTTGATGGGTTTCCCTCGATGTTTGCTTTGAACGGAGCAAGGCAGGAAACGAGGGGGTTTGTGCTTTTGAACTAGCCAATAGTTAACTGGGTGACGGATCGAGATGTGGCATATGGACCGTTCGATAAATAATCATGGGCGAAATCGTTCGACCGGGAATTGCGGCTTTTCTTGCCGCTGTTCCCATTCGATTTCAGCTGGTTTGATCCAACGGTGAAAAAATTGCTTTCGTGAATGATGGTGTAACTTCGTGACAGGCAATTCGTTGGGTGCAACTTTTGCTTCCAACCTGGTTCCAAAAGCCAATCACAGAACGCTCTGGCAAGTTCTTGGGATCGACGTGAATGCCGTAAAACCGTCGATAGCACGCCTCCGAACTGCCCATCGACGATTGAAACGCACTGGAAAACAACACAAACTCGTTCGACGAGGAACACAGCAGCACCAGACGAGGCAGGCTGGAATTTCACTCGCTTGCCTGGACTCAATCAATTCGCCCAGCCCAACCAATTCGCCTGCAGGGCGGTGAGGGAGACCAGCCAGACCATTCCCCTTGCCCCATTTGCCCTGTACGTACATACCCCAGTGGCAGCACCGCGTTGCCCAACGCTCCAAGCTGGTCAGAATAAAGCCAGAGCTCATTGCTCCAGGTTCCATGGTTCCAGTTCCTTCTCTTCCGAAGTTCCTGTTCCTTCTCCAATCTCAAGTACATCAGCACTTTCCGAGCGCTGCTTGCTTTTTCAGCATCTAGAGCTGCTTATCTTCTTGATATCATTCGACCCAGACCGATCTGCAAGGCGTCGTCTGCATTTCTCAACCCCACTTTCAGCTTCAGGAAACCTTGGACATCTTCGATCCGTCTGTGCGTGCGCTTTTAATCTCGACCGTTCATCATGTCGGGACGTGGCAAGGGAGGCAAGGGTCTCGGAAAGGGAGGCGCAAAGCGTCACAGGAAGGTTCTTCGCGACAACATCCAGGGCATCACCAAGCCGGCCATCAGGCGACTCGCTCGCCGCGGCGGCGTGAAGCGTATCAGCGGTTTAATCTACGAAGAGACTCGCGGCGTGCTGAAGGTGTTTCTTGAGAATGTCATTCGCGACGCTGTGACGTACACGGAGCACGCGCGGAGAAAGACGGTCACTGCCATGGATGTGGTTTACGCTTTGAAACGCCAAGGCAGAACGCTGTACGGGTTTGGCGGCTAACTCGTGACTGACCTTGTCCCTAAGCGATTAGGAGCCTTCTGCAATAGATTCTGATTTTTGCTGCAATTCTAAGATTTTCCTTTACATTCGTGTATAAATTTCTCCAATAATTATTACAGATCTGTGGAAATGTCCATCAACAGAGTCTGATTTGAGGATTGGTATGCAGCCTGCATTTTACCGAGAAAAGAACCCATATGCCGTCAAAAGCTATCGGTTTAGGCTCAATTCGTCAAATTATACAGCACATAGCCAAGGCCCGTAAAGCTGGTCAGCCCACTTCAAAACTGCCTCGGAAACCCCACAATCGCGGATGCAGTATGTTTCACCACCTCCCCGCAGTTCCAGGAGGCTCATGGAAAAGGCGATCGTTCTAAGGAGCTAAGGGCATGTCACTAAAGTACGTCCGATTGCGGTTCGCAAAGATGTTTTGCGTTCTGAAACGGTCAAATAAATTTCTAGAGCGGTTTAGTACGGTATTTTGCCAAAACGATTTTTGGTGACACGCCCTAATCAACTCAGCAGGTGCATGTTCCTGATAAGGCGGCCTCCCACTGCGTTACCTTCTGACGATTCGCCAACGCCGTCGCAGATGCGTCGTCATGCGACGTGCCACTTGGCGACACATCTGGACGGGCGTTTTTTCGCGTGACGGATCTCCACCGTTGATCAATTCGTCGTTGAACCGAGCTTCCCACGCTATCGCCCTAGTAGCCGCCTCGAGTCGTCATCTCCAAAACACGTCGCCTCTTAAACTAAGGACGTTCCAGAATATCTTCGGGCCGCATTCGCGAGATTCGCGCTACCCGTTGGGAATTGTCGTGCCGCCAGCCCGGATCCACCTTTGTCAGAGCCTAACTAGTCAGCTGCGTACGCTGTCTAATAGCAGCGGAAGCGACAACAGTGTTAGAATCAGCAGCAGCATCAGCAACGGCAACGACGGTAGCAATGGGGCCAGCATTGGCAGCGACAGCAGCGGCGTTGCGAAGGGCTGGTCGCATCACAACATGACGATATCCCGCGCCGCTGATATCCTCATGGCTCCGCCAGTGAAACCAAAGCGCCTCGGGTAAGATTCGCCATCAGTTGCAAGGCTGCTCGCACTGGTCGCACTGGTCGCACTGGTCGCACTGGTCGCACTGGTCGCACTGGGAGGAAGGGCTGGTCGCATGACCAGATGAAGGTATCCCGCGCCGCGGATATCCTAATGGCGCCGCCCTTCAAGCCGAAGCGCCTAGGGTAAGTTTCATTATCGGTTGCAATGGCTGCTCGCTGCTCGCAATGGCAATGGCAATGGCAATGGCAATGGCCGCGCTGTTTACATTATCCAGGGAGCACGCACCTAATGAGTTAGGTGGGTGAGGGATCTATTTTTTAGGCGCCTCAAAAATAGACTCCTCACGCATGAGTTAGGTGAGTGAGGGTGCATAAGTGTTCCGCGCTGATCACATTCTTCTGGCTCCACCAATCAAATTAGGAGTGTGTTTTGAGTCGACTCAAAACACTCCACCAATCAAACCGATGGACTACTATAGGCCAATGCAGGACTTCCCCCGTTCCTTTCCCTTCCCATTTGACCCGTATTTCAAGAGCCCGTTCCTTGAGCTCTCCTCTCTCCCTTCCTCTCTCACATTCTCTCCTCCCCCTCTAAATCCATTTCCCAGGCCGGACTTCCACTCCTGGCAGGCGGGTGTTGCATTGCGTGCGTGCATGCCTTCCTGTGACCCGATTTTTTAGGCGCCTCAAAAACCTGGTTTTTGAGGCGCCTAAAAAAATTGTGTTGCATTGCGTGCATGCCTTCCTGTGACCTGAGTCTCAACAGCCCACTCCTTACATGCTTTCCCCTCACTCCCCTCCCTTCACCTACACTTCTCTTAAAACCAATCTCCAGGTTGGACTTCCACATCTGGCAGGCAATCGTTGCGTGCATGCCTCCTCTAGGTGCGTCGCCATGCCAGAAGCTCGTTCAAACGCTTTAAATAAAGACTCTTTCAACTGTTTGAAGACTCGTAAAACACTGCTCAAATATGTGGGGCAAGAGCATATCTCGCACTTTTATTGTACTTCATCAGAAAAATTGATAATCGCAGTTCTATACCCCCCCTCCCCCTCTCTTCTTCTCCTCCCCCCCACCCCACCCTCCTCCGCACCCCCCTTCGTCCCCCCCACCCTTCGATTTTTAGCCTTGTCAATTACCCCCCGTCTCTCCCCCCTTCCCCCTCCCTCTCCCCTTCTCTCCCTCCTCCCTTCCCCCTTGCGGCGGTTTATCTGACCGTGCAATACGCCAAAGCAGAGATCGACAGGCGACCCTTGTAATGGCTGCAGGGTCAGCTCCCCCCCGCCCCCTTTTCCCACCCCTCCTGTCTCTCCCCCACCTCCCTCCCCCCCTGCAGCGGTGTATCTGACCGTCGTCCCTCTCCCTCCTCCCTTCTCCCCCCCCCCCCTGCAGCGGTGTATCTGACAGTGCAGTATGCTAAAGCAGAGATCGACCGGATGGAAAGGGTGAGTGCGGGTATCCTTTTAAGGGGGGCAGGGGGAGAGGGGGAGGGTGGGGGGAGGGGGTTTGGGGGAGGGGGGGGGATGAGTGGGGAGCATGCTTTGGACTGTAGCGATCACACTTGTGACTGTATCTGGTGGACTGTGGGGGATCGTACTTGTGGCATATTTCACACTTTTATCTGACAGTGCAATATGCCAAAACAGAGATCGACTGGATTGAAAGAGTGAGTGTTGGGAGCTGGCTGTCGGGGGTGGGGGGTGGGGGGAGCAGGCCCCTCGATTTCCCTAGGGGTCGCCCTGCAGAGTACGAGTTTACCCCGGGTCCGGCTCGTCCAGACTTTTGAGTCGACTCAAAAGTCGGCCCGTCCAGGCTGGGTAGGCCTGACATTCTGGACTGTTTTTGCAGACCAGAAGAGTATCGACCAGGTCGGAATGTTCCTCTCCCTAGAATGTCAGGAGGGGTTCTTTGTTTTGCCAGGGAAGCGAATGCTTTAATTAGATTTAGTTTTGAGGCGCCTCAAAGCCAGGGAGCGAATGCTTTAATTAGATATTACAGGGTGGGTGGGTCCATCCCCCTACCCTGAAATTGGCCGTGGGGTCAGTTTGGCTCCTCCGTCCACGTACGGGTATCGATACTATAAATGCGTCAAAAGCAGGGCTAGACCGAAAGCACTGTAATTACCCAGTTTTCCGTGACAAAGCAGTGTAATTACTGTGACACCCAGAGGCCTGAGGTGAAGGGGGAGGGGGGGAGAGGTTGGGGGGGAGCATTGAGTGTGTGGTGGAGTGTGGAAATCAGATGCACTCCCTCCCGGGAGTATCTGACTGCGATATGCCAAAGCAGAGCTATTCAGGATGGAAGGGTGTGTGCAGGGAGTTGGCTTGGGGGGGATTGGGTGTTTTCTGGAGCGAGTGTGTAGGGAAGTGTGTGGGAGGGACTAGTGTGTAGGGGATCATAGGACAGATTACAGCTCAGCTTGTATTTGACTGTGCAATGTGCTAAGAAGGAGCTGGGTTGGGGGGGGAATTCAGTGTGTTCTGGAGTGTGGGACAATAGTGCACCCCCGAGTGTAACACTGTGCAATATGCTAAGCCAGACAACGAGGGCATAGAAAGGGTGAGAGTGGGGAGTGGGGTTTGGGGGGGGAGACCAGAGTGTTCGGAAGTGTGGGACTAGAATGCAATGCACACCCGAGTGTAACTGACTGTGCAATGTGCTAAGCTAAGCAACGGGGCATGGAAAGGGTGAGTGTGGGGAGCTGGTTTTGGTGGGGGGGGGTTGGAGGGAGTTTGGGAGAGGAGCAAGTGTGTAGGGAGTTGTAGGACAGACTACACCTCACCTTATATTTGACTGTGCAATATTCTAAGCCAGACAACGAGGGCATGGAGAGGGTGAGAGTGGGGAGTGGGGTTTGGGGGGGGGGAATCAGAGTGTTCCGGAGGGGAAGTGGGTTTGGGGGAGGAGTGAGTGCAAGGGGATTGACTTTGAACGTGAGAGTGAGCATAGGATATTGTGAGTCTAAAATTTAAGCACCTCGAAGATTGACTGTGGAAGTGAGAGTGAGTGCATGGATGTAGATCCCAGCTCAACCCTGGTCTGAGACGCATGCTCGCTCATGTTCATGCTAAAGCGCCTCAGAGATTGCTTAAGCACCTCGAAGATTGCTTCAGCACCTCAGAGATTGCTTAAGCAGCTCGAAGATTGCTTAAGCACCTCGAAGATTGCTTAAGCACCTCAGACATTGCTTAAGCACCTCGATGATTGCTTAAGCACCTCGAAGATTGCTTAAGCACCTCGAAGATTTCTTAAGCACCTCAGAGATCGCTTAAGCACCTCGAAGAGTGCTTAAGCACCTCGAAGATTGCTTAAGCACCTCGAAGATTGCTTAAGCACCTCAAAGATTGCCTGTGTTTGTGTCGGTTGGTGCTTCTTGCCTGTGTTTGCTTGCTCGCTTCTGCGCATGTGTTCTTACCTGTGTTCTTAAGCAGGAGCTTCAGACACAAGAGCCATCTACAGTCAAGGAGAGTGAGAAGGCAAGCAACGAAGTCACACGGACAAAGGAGGCCACGTCAGCACAGACTGACATCACGACAGGTCATACTGACGTGGCATCTGCTGACCTGGCAGCGCTGCAACAACAGCTGGCTGTGCTGGCCAATCAAGTGCAGCAGCTGCAAGCATTGGTGGGCGGGGATGAGGGAGGGAGTGGTGGTGGTGGTGTTGGAGGGGGAGGGGGAGGAGGGGAAGGGGAGTAGGAACGGGTGGAGGAGGGGGAGGAAGAGGAGTGGGAGTGGGGAAGGAGCCTACAGAGACATCTCAAGAGCAGGTAGGAGCAGGAATGGTGCCGATGCCTGCAGTTTTGACTCGAGAGAGCGATGTGTCAAGTTCTTTTAAGGCCCATCACATCCATCGCACTGAAGGGATAGCAGCATTAGACACCCCAAAAGGAGGGGAAACGCAGGGAATGAGCAGGGAGACTGCAGCTGGAAAGAACAAGGGGAGATGAAACTGGGTGAGAGGAGTGGGAGCAGCAGTAGGAGTAAATTTTGGGATGAACGAGGTGCATGTGATTGTGGCACTAGTAATTTTTTACACATTTCTCACAGTTTTTACCCAATGCCCGCA